GTAGTCCTAAAGGTTCAAGCTGGTAGGGTAGCTGCGTAGGCTTAAATGAATTAAGTTAGTAAGATATAGATCTCCTCTTACTACTATCCTTGCTTTGCATTTAATTAGGTAACTATCCTAATTAAGCTCGTACGTAAACACCTATTTAAGTAGGAGTAGATGCTCTCGTATCGGTAGCCTATTAATCTCCTCATAGGTACTAGCCTTTAGCACAGTATTAATTTCGTTAGATGCTACCTCTCTAAATCACAGTCCTATTTAGTCGTTATACAGATCATTTCCCCCCCCACCCTCCCCTCCATCTCTTCCCTTCCCTTCCCACACCCCCCCCAACTCGCTTGGGCATCTCAAAACTTCTCTTTCTCTTACCTACTCACCCTACTCTACCCCCTACTCCTTACCCCTTCCGATCGCGCTTGCATGCCAGTTGGATGACGGCGACGTGCATCCAACAGCCCGCTCGCACCAACAATTCGGCCAGTCAAGCGAGCCTTGTTGCCCTACCTGGCTGCATGCTGCTGCGGGTCTTGTTTTGGGGCCTCGAAGGAGAAATTTGGAACGGCGCCGAAGTTTTTTCTTATGCACACTTGCATCGTCGGCCCCATTTGCCCCTTCATCATTGTGCATGGTGGCACCGCGCAATCCTTGTCTTGCCCTCTGCGGCCTTGTCTCACCCATCCTCTTTCATGGCCAAATGATTTCGATGGATGGACTGGACTTGCTCCAGCCACTGCAACTAGGTATCGTTGTCGGTCGAACCCCGGCTGTTGCAGCCAGCCAGCCAGCAAGCGAGTGCAATGAGAGAGAGAGAGAGAGAGAGAGAGAGTGTGTGTGTGTGTATATATGTATACATATACATGTACATGTACATATATATATATATATTTGTGAGAGAGTGAGAGTGAGTGAGAGAGACCCTTTGCCCTCTGAACCTTATGCTTGTCATCCCGCTCCCGCATGCCTGTGTCTCTCCCTTCTGAGCCAAGATCGCACGCTAGCCTGGCGCCGAAAAGCGGCGCAGCACCAGTACCAATCCTCTTGTCTTCTCGTCATAGCCGCTGCGCTGCATCGCTGGGCCATCACTTGTTTCCCTTCTCCCCCCCAATCGTGACCTACCCTACCCACCAACACCATACGTACGACCAAGCAATGTGCATCGTCTCTTTTCCACCCACCAAGCCCGCTCTCCCTTCTCGGTCTGCTGCATACCATCCCCATGGCCCGACTCTCCCGATGCAACACCATGCAGGCCCCCATTCAGGGACCGAATCTCCATTCACTCACATGCCCTCGCTTATCAATGGCTTGAGGCCCGCGTTTATTCGTCCCCCACGAGTGCTTGTCGGCTTGACGTGCGCCCGTGCTACTCTAGACCGAATTGGCTTGTGCAGTGGCGGCAACCGAAAGACGCAAAGACGCCCCCGCGCCCCACGATCACGATGTTGCGCCAAACAGGTGGCTAGAGGTACGTGTAGCGAAGTCCAGGGCTGCAGTCACACGAAGCGAGCGTGCCTACTTGGGAGCATGTCAAGTGGACTGGACGGCTTCTGCATCAAGCATGGCCTCAACCCTGTCTTCGTACGCGTGTCTCTCTCTCTCTTTGTGTGTGTGTGTGTGTGTGTGTGTGTGTATGTGCACTCAAAAAATCCCAGTTTTCACCACAGCTGGCTCCTTTCTGCGAGAGTGTGGATAAGACGTCCACTCGGCTGCGTGCAAAGCGAAAACTCTGCACGTCTGGCTTCACCTATAGGACAAGCTTTTGCTGTGGGTTGATGTCAGCAACAGAAGATGCATTTGCACCTCACCCAATACACACACAGACACACAGACAGTACACTTCTCAAGGCGCGGACCTTTTTGCCTGGCAGCAAATTTTTTTAAATTATTTGTGGGAGGCGTGCGCATGGATCGACATGTTCTTGCTCACTGTAGGATAGTGCACACCATCTCTCTCCTCACGCCACCTGGCACACCACTCAGTCGCATCTACAGTACAACCTACATTGTCCTTATGTCGAGCATACCAAGTGCAACAATTACCTTCTACGAATGTTGCACACGTCCATACCTTTTCTTTTCCAAGATGGTAATGACTGATACCGTAACCCAAGATACAAGGGAGTACAGAATGGTAGGTTGACCAGAGTTCCGGATCAAAATGGAAATACCAACCCCAGGCCCAGTACCTTGGTTTGCAGCTCATTGACCTCGAGAAAGGATCCTACTGGAAGACAGCAAGCATGTACCGTATGATAACAGCAGTATCCAGTTCAGACATCTGCGACCGTCGACGATTCGCCAGACAAACAGGTACCACAACACCAGTACAGGGCAATCCAAGGTGAATGCTCACAGAAGAAATAATTTGGCTGCCATTCGGATTCATTTCTCCATGGCGTTGGAAACATCGTTCAAGGACCAAGGACTTCGAAGCTGTTTGCAAACTCGGGAATACCCATTCGGTAACGTTCGCGTCGGGCCGGCCTGTGACCCGAGATCTGGGCGGCAAACACGCGCTGCTAATCTAGCAGTTCGAGTCAGGACCCTGATGCTGGGAACCTGCCTGGCCGTCGATCTTCGTGCTGGACCAGATGGACAAGAAAGGTCAAATACGCCGTCACATAGTAGAACGCTCCTCAAAGACGTCCGTTGGCCTGGAGTTTTTTTTATAGACTCGAGATCTTTATTGGACCACAAAAGCAAGCCCCTGGCAGCCCATGGGAACATGCTATTCTATTGGAGAAGATGCAGCATCCCGCAAAACAGGGACTTCATTTCACCCGAAGAAATCCCAGTGATGTGAATCCGACTATTTCCGAAAGGTTCCAACAACTCGGGCTTTGGTCATACCATGTACATGTGTAGGCTTCGTCTGTAGAGTATCAATCCGAGTATATCTGACATGGTTTATATACATGGTAAGTTCGAGACCGATCGTGGTTCCTGTCGTTCATCGGTTGAATGGGATCCTGAGACAGCCGCGCCGGCAAACCTCATGATTCCTTCACGCAGTGACCATGACCATGAAACTGTGTCGTGCAAGAGTAAAATGCAGACCCTGCATCTGCACATCGGCAGCCTGTCGCACAACAAACGCTATCCACTGTGGATGAAGGAATTCGAAGCATCACTGATCTTCGGAAATTTGTGCCGAACCACCGCTTTCTCCACAAACACGAACATGTGCACCGGCACACTAAAATGTCGTGCAGGAAGCCCCATGCCTGTCCCTGACTCGACATGTCGCCAGGTCAAGGGTATCTTGCCTTTCTCCACACTATCCAGACCCAAAAATCGCTACGTCTAGGCCAACCTCGTACGCAAGCCTGGAGGTCCAGCCCCCAGAACGAGCATAGTCCAGTCATCTTTTGTGTTGGACAGGCCTTATCTACGGAGGCATTCCGATGGCCATACGAGTCATCCCTCTTCACCGGACGATGCGATTTCGCCAAAGACATGTACCGCAATTCGAGCTGGCTAGTATCGCGATGTTGACCACCTTTGACTAGAGGTTGGCAGATGATGGGCAAACTTGTGTGGGTACAGGCACGACTAGCGCAGTCGAGATGTCTTACACGGCCACACGCATGTGCCATGTACGTCGTTGATGCTGACATGGGGCATAGTGATAGCCACGATCTTGCGTGGAGCATCCATGTCCACGGGTCTGCCGATGGTGGAGTGACTTGACGCGGGTGGCGATGGATAGCGAGGAGGCGGCGCGGAAAAAACCAGCGTGAAATGCAATCAAAAGAAAAAGTCCAGGCATACAGCATACAGCATACAGCAGACAGCAGACAGCAGACAGGACTACCACTGCGTGATGGCAAAGTCTGCGAGCGCTGCAACTTGCCGATGTCAACAAACGCTGCCGCTATTGATTCCAGCCAGGAAACGACACGATCCAGTGAACGGACCTCAGCCTCACGGCAACACGTGACGCCACTTTTCTTGTTGAGCTGTGGTATGTGGAGGTGCTATCGGCGCGGCAAGCGAGGAATTCGGCGTTCACTGGTCCGTCTCCCCCACCTTGCGTCTATGTGTATGTACCTACTTATGGACCTACTTTGTACAATACAGCCCGTGATGCCAGGGGACCCCCCCTCCCCCCTCCCCTCCCTTGCACGCCTCGCGCGATGGATGATAACGACTTACCCCACCAATTCACGGCCAGCTCGGAAATTGAGTTTGACACCTATCCCTGTCTGCCCGGAAAGACCAAATGTGGCTGGAAAGTCGATGGACTTGCCTTGTGTGAAAAAGTCCTGACCAGCGGCATCTCCAACGCGCGGGTTCTGGCTTGGGGGACGGGGGTGTAGAGGAGGGATTCCATGCACACATGCACTGACTGCTGTGTTGAAGTTGGGATTGGCAAACTCCTCTGTGACTTTGCTCGCTGCGATGAAGCGGAAGCACTATGGTGCCTGTGGTGGTTCTCATGTTAGTGTCATGGCACATGTACTACATGTAGTAAGCGGCTGCCGCGGGGTCGAGCGTCGTCTCTCGGTACCGATGAGACGCGCCGAGTTGCCCATCTGGTGTCTGGTGTCTGGTGTCTCTGGCAAGTTTCAAGCAGACAAAAAGGGCCGAAGCAAACATCATCCTCGCATGAAAGACGCATACTATGTACAAGTATGAGCCATTTTGGACAGTCACGGCCTGTGAAACTTAGCCGAACAATGCCTAATCGGCATCCTCTCAGCATCCTCTCAGCATACATGACCGGCAACCAGGTTCTTCCGGCCTTTCGCCTGATTCAACCAGCATCCGGCATCACCAATGGTACGTCATGGCTGGGATAAAGCATGTCAGCATGCACACACTACCGCATCAAGTCGAGACTGGGAAACCGCCTCGACACGGTTCACGACAACCACCATCATACTACCATGCTACTTCCGCATCCTTCTACTGTGTGCCAGGCGATAGGGAGTTGACCCCATGGACAGCAATTCCAAATCGCATACCACATACGTCCTCGGCCCACACTGTCCCGCAGCCCCGGAGCGGCCAACCCCAATAGACACGGGGAAAACGCATGTCGACGTTCTTGCCGGAATTTTGCATGCTACCTCACCGAGCGCATTAGACGGCCTTAAAGGGCAAACCGAAGACTGAACTCAAACGAGCAATAATCGCCTTGTCCATAGTCCATGGATTCTGCAATGGCGCCATCCCGAATCCTAGACTCGCATATCCATCTGTGGCCCGGGACGGCAACCACATCGAAGCATCATGGCTGGATGTCTGAGGGTCACTTTTTCGCCAAGCAGCATGGCATCCAAGACTATCTGGCTGTTGCGACTCCGAAGCCCTGGGGATTTATTTATGTAGAAACGGATCGCTACCTGCCGTCACCCACGCCTCCTCTCCACGGCACCGAGAACGAGGCAGAACAGGAAGAGAGGCTTGAAAACTGGGCGCAGCAGCCACTAGAAGAGCTGAGGTTTCTGCGGCGAATAGTAGAGGACAAGGCTCAGGAGGGGGATGGGTTTCAAGAGGGAGATGTAGAACTCATGAAGGGCTGTGTTATTTGGGCTCCATTTCCTCTTGCGCCCGCGCTCTTCAAAACATTTCTCCGTATTGCAGAGGGTGTTGCGGGGCCAGAGCTCTGGAGACGGGTTGTGGGATTCCGATACTTGCTTCAGGGCAAAGCAGAGGGCGAGGTCAAGAGAATAGTGCAGAGCGAAGCTTGGATCGAGAACATGACGAGCCTGGCTAGTGGGAGGGAGGGAAAGGGGTGGGCATTCGATGTAGGAGTCGATACGCATCGCGATGGCTTGGAGCCGCTCGAGGCCGTGGGTGAAATGATTCAGGAGGTGCGGAGAAGGGAGAAGGCTAGTGGGAGTGGCAAGGCGGTTCGATTTGTACTCAGTAGGTTTGAAATCTCCCTCATCGTTCTATATACACCTCGACGGTATCATTCTACCCACCCTTTCCCCTCCACCTCCCCACCCTCCCCACCCTCCACATCCTCCCCATCCTCTCCACCCTCCCTATGCTCCACTTCTATTGAACTACCAAATTAAACACATACACCCGATCTTTGAGATGCGCTTCGTGGCCCATGTTGCCAGCCTTTTCCACCTCTGCTCTCCATCTCGTGTGCTGCTGCTGCTGCTGCTGCGGCTATCATGCTCTGCAACGAGTCAACAGACATACAACCTCCGAGTCCGAGGCAACTCTGCAGAATGACGTGGCCCCGTGACTGGTGTCTAGGGTACATACTCTCCATCCCGCATAGTAGTCGCACTCTCAGTCTGTCG